AGTGCTGACCACTGGGAAAAACCGCCTTTCATTTAAACTAAAGATTGCTGGAATCGACAGCCTAACTGCTCAGGTCAAGGTAGGCCTGTCTTCCTACAGATTTCTTAGCCCACAGGATCTTCTGGAGCCTGGCAGACCCTGCGCTAAACAGAAAAAGGCAAATACGACCTTCAGTGACTATGGAGGACCCTGAGGAGTAGCTTTAGGTGCCAACCAAGTAAGTTCTCTGCTGTTTTTTAATCAATAACTCAAGTAAAATTTTATCCTTCTCAAAGATCTCTGATACAGTTTGACAGCTGAGAGGTTATGTCAGTTTAAAAGGACAACCACACCAAAAAAATTCAACAAAATAAAAATATAAGACCTGGAAGTTATAAAGTTGTGAGGATAAATACAAGTTATCAAATTTCTCTCTCACACTGCCTTCTATAGTCTTAAAAACACTTTTTATTGTGCAAAAAATCTATCACAGTCATTCTGACATAAATATGCTCTTGTTTATACAACGTATATGTCTAAAACTGTTTTCACAAAGAATTCTTGTGAGTTCCAGGGAGCCAAATTGAAGGATCCACCTTAAACAGGTGGAAGAGACACCAGACATTTCCATACCACAAACATTGAACAGGAGCAAAGAGACCAGCTACACCAGGATGTGACCAGCACCCAGCTTTCTCAGGTTCCTCCCCAAAGATCACACCCACAAATAAGCAGGAAGCAGTCTTGAGAATCCGCCGCCCCAATTCATTTAACCTGTGGCGCCTATCCTCCTGCCTTTTTTATTATAAAAAAGAGATGGGAATGTAATGGTCTGTCCTGTCCCTTTAAGAGACAAGCTACACCCATTCCCTCCCCATCTGCTGAGACAAGATGATCATCAGCTTTTAGCCTGAGATCCTCCCTTTCTGTCTCTAAGAGGCAGTTTCTGTCTCTCCCTTCTCCCACACTTCTCCCCTTCCCCCTGTTCCTCTCTCTCTCTCTCTCTCTCTCTCTCTCTCTCTTTCTCTCTGCCTCTCTCTGTGCTTCTCTCTCTGCTCCTCTCCCCTTTTCCCTCTGTAACCCACTAAATAAATATCCAACCTCACTCTGCATGGTGTGCCTATTCATGTCTCTGTCTCTCGCCCGCCATGAGGCTCCCTGCCTGCTACTACCCAGGTATCCACAGTGGCATGGTCTCATGGCCTGCTGCCCACTGTAGCCACTTGGGGATCTGCAGCAGTTTTATTTAAACCATAACATCAACAAAAAAATCTTTTGTCCTATGTTGCTCTGCCCACTCCCAAAACTTTAGTGTCACACATTACAGTTCTTTGTATTATCACTATCAATGTGTAATTCTCATTTTATGATCTTAAACTGGTCCTTCCACTATATCACCCCCTCCTTAGTCATGTAACTTCCCTGCTGAAAAATCCAGAACTTGCAGTTCTTGCCTGTCCAGTGAGTTCCCAAGCTCACATCCCAAACCACTTCCCAACCTGGTCTCTCTTCTCCCTGTTACCCATGCTGTGTGACGTCCATATGGCCTTTCCATTATCTGTGTCTCCATTCCCATCAATGCTATGGACGGAATTGTTTCTTCTACCATTACCTCTGCCTTAAACATTACCCATTTCTTAATAATAAGCTCTAGTGGGGTCCTTTCTGAAAGATCTTTCACAGTTGTGTCGACCATAAACAATCTGTCCTGTTAAATTACTGGGACATTTTTGTGCCATTTACATGATACATGCCTCCTATTACTTGCATTATGTTCTCTGTTCATGTTTCCTCTCTTTTTAATTTTCTTAAAATAAATATTTAGCAACTTACAATTTGCTAGAGCTATAGTACTGAAGGAGACAGTTCTCTCTAATAATCACAGAGGGGGCATTGAACAAATGAACTCAAAAAACACCTATATTCTATGAGGGAGGCAAGCTCAAGTCCAAACTGTCCCTATTCGGAGCGAACCCGGAGTAATGTGCAGGGTTTAGGGGGGAGTGAAGCCAGAGTAATGTGCGGGGCGAAGGGGGAAGTGAATCCCGAGTAATGTGTGTGGTTCAGGGGCTGGAGTGAAGCCAGAGCAGTGTGTAGGGTGGGGTGGGGGTAATGAAGCCAGAGTAATGTGTGGGGCTGGTGGGGGAGTGAAGCCGTAGTAATGTGCGGGGTTGTGGGGGAGTGAAGCGGGAGTAATGTGCGGGGTTGTGGGGGAGTGAAGCCGGAGTAATGTGCGGGGTTGTGGGGGAGTGAAGCCGGAGTAATGTGCGGGGTTGTGGGGGAGTGAAGCCGGAGTAATGTGCGGGGTTGTGGGGGAGTGAAGCCGGAGTAATGTGCGGGGTTGTGGGGGAGTGAAGCCGGAGTAATGTGCGGGGTTGTGGGGGAGTGAAGCCGGAGTAATGTGCGGGGTTGTGGGGGAGTGAAGCCATGGTAATGTGCGGGGTTGGGAGCGTGAAAGTGTCTGTGCCTAGTCTTCTTTATCAGCCAAACATTCCAAGAGCCCAGTTCTTCCTAGTTATTGCACAAGAAATCTAAGAATTAGTGGCAAACATTGAGACTAGAAGTTTGAAAAGACAAAGAAAATCCAGCCATAAAAAGGGAGAAGAGGGGCTGGAGAAATAACTTGGTTAAGAGCACTTCTTGCTGTTCTAGAGGGCCCAGATTTGGTTCCCAGTGCCCATGTTAGTTAGCTCATAATAATCTGTAACTCCAGTTCCAGGGGATCCAAAGGCTTCTTCTGGCCTCTATGAACATCCACACACATGTGGCATACACTCACACAATCACACACATGCATAAACTAAATGTATAAGTAAAAATAAAATCATTTTATTTTAAAAATTATTTTGTGTGTATGGATATTTTCCCTGCATGTCTGCCTGTGCACCGCATGTATGAAGGTCCTTTGAAGGTCAGAAGAGGGCATCAGATCTGCTGGAACTGAAGTTACAGACTATTGTGAGCTGCCTTGTGGGTGCTGGGACTCAAACCTGGGTCCTCTGGAAGAGGAGCCAGTGGTCTTAACTGGTGAACTTACGTGGTCTGCTCTGGTCCAGACAAAATAATTTTAATACATTTTTTATTTTGAGGCAGGTTTCTCCGTAGCTTTTGGTTCCTGTCCTGGAACTAGCTCTTGTAGACCAGGCTGGCCTCGAACTCACAGAGATCCACCTGCCTCTGCCTCCCAAGTGCTGGGATTAAAGGCGTGCGCCACCACTGCCCGCTGATACTTATTGAGCTCTACATTTTTCTCTGCTCCCCTCCCTGCCTCTCCCCTCCCACTTTCAATCCTCCCCCAAGGTCCCCATACTTAGGAGAGCTTGTCTTTTTCTACTTTCTACTTCCCATGTAGATTAGATCTATATAAGTCTCTCTTAGTGTCCTCATTGTTGTCTAAGTTCTCTGGGATTGTGGTTTGTAGGCTGGCTTTCTTTGCTTTATGTTTAAAAACCACCTATGAGTGAGTATATGTGATAATTGTCTTTCTGTGTATGGGTTACCTCACTCAAAATAATGTTTTCTAGCTCCATCCATTTTCCTGCAAAATTCAAGATGTCATTTTTTTCTGCTGTGTAGTACTCCATTGTGTAAATGTACCACATTTTCCTCATCCATTCTTCAGTTGAGTGGCATTTAGGTTGTTTCCATGTTCTGGCTATGACAAACAATGCTGCTAAGAACATAGTTGAGCACATGTCCTTGTGGCACGATTGAGCAGCCTTTGGATATATACCCAAAAGTGGTATTACTGGTTCTTGAGGAAGATTGTTTCCTAATTTTCTGAGAATCACCACACTGACATCCAAAGGGGTTGGACCAGCTTGCATTCCCACCAGCAATGCAGAAGTGTTTCTTTTCCCCACAACCTCTCCAGCATAATTTGTCATCAGTGTTTTTGATTTTGGCCATTCTTACAAGTGTAAGATGGAATCTCAGAGTTGTTTTGATTTGCATTTCTCTGATGACTAAGGATGCTGAACATTTTCTTAAGCGTCGTTCAACCATTTTAGATTCCTCTGTTGAGAGTTCTCTGATTAGGTCTGTACTCCATTTTATTTATTGGATTATGTGATCTTTTGGTGTTCAATTTCTTGAGTTCTTTGTATATTTTGGAGATCAGAACTTTGTCTGCTGTGGGGTTAGTGAAGATCTTTTCCCATTCTGTAGGCTGTCGTTTTGTTGGCCATGTCCTTTGCTTTACAGAAGCTTTTCAGTTTCAGGAGGTCCCATTTATTAATTGTTTCTCTCAGTGTCTATGCTGCTGGGGTTATATTTAGGAAATGGTTCCCTGTGCCAGTGCATTCAAGTGCACTTCCCACTTTCTCTTCTATAAGGTTCAGTGTGGCTGGCTTTGTGTTGAGGTCTTTGATCCATTTGGACTTGAGTTTTGTGCATGGTGATAGATATGGGTCTATCTTCATTCTTCTATATGTTGATATCCAGTTATGCCAGCACCACTTGTTAAATATGCTTTCTTTTTTTCATTTGATATTTTTTGCTTTTTTATCAAAGATCAGGTGTTCAAAGATGTGTAGATTGATATCTGGGTCTTCTATTTGGTTCCATTGGTCTTTCCTGTCTGTTCTTATGCCAATACCAGGCTGTTTTCAGGACTGTAGCTCTGTAGTAGAGTTTGAAATCAGGGATTGTGATGCCTCCCGAAGTTCTTTTATTGTACAGGATTGTTTTGGCTATCCTGGGTTTTTTGCTTTTCCATATGAAGTTGAGTACCATTTTTTCGAGATCTTTGAAGAATTTTGCTGGGATTTTAAGAAGGAAGAATAGGAACAAGTAGTTCAAGAACAGTATTTATTGAATCCTTTTCATTTTCTAAAATAGAACTAGCAGCTAATATATATTGACTGATACCTTTTTTTTTTGGTGTTTTCTTTGGTGATGCTAGGGTTCACATCTGGACTAGCAATTCTAGGCAGGTGTTCTAGCCTAGAGCTGCATCCACAGCCCTGAGTGTGTCTTTTATGTACTTCTTAACATGTGCTGCCCGCCTTGCCTTTCTGCAGTCTCCTGAAGAGGTTTTCAGATGTGGACCTCTCCTTCCCCCAGCCACCACCAGGCTCCAGCTTCTTCAGTGGTACAAAGAGGGGTACACTGTTTCTCACCTCATATCGGGTAATGTATACTTTTCTTTTGATTGGCTGATTAGCTTACATTTGCTTTTCATGAAGCTGAAAAAAGTTAAACATTGGCTTTTAAGGTGTTTTAAGACATTTTTACTTTGAGACTTCCATTTTGAAGAAGGATGGAAGAAAGAGATGATGTTTCTCAATTAGGCCACACTACCCAAGTGACCTTGGCGTTGCTTCTGCAAGACTCTATCCACGGACAAATTCTGTATTCCTTTTCCAAAGTTTCCTTCCTCACTTAGGTGATTTTTGTGACGTCACGCTCAGACAATGACCCCATGTTGTCTTTTATGATGCCATTCCATCTAATGACGAACTGCACTGTTGAACAACCAATCTTTGCTGCAAACTACATTAAAGGCACAATTCAGGCAGCTCCCGATGGTAAGTTTTTCTTCTTAGAAGTGCCTCCTGTATGCCCTCAAAAAGATGCTAAGAGTTTAAGATTCTGACTTGCTTCGTGTTCAAACCAAAGCCGAGCTGCGTGCATGAGGGTGCATTCCTCAGGGTTTGTGAGTATTTGCCATTTCTTCGCCCAGGTGGCTGGGAAGGATCAGCAACTTTTAAAATGGCCTTCAGGAAAGGAGGTGCCATCAAGTTTGCCCAGCTCCTGGCCAAAGCTGCCTCCGCTGGTGAGTGATAACGCAGTAGAGGCTGTAGGCATTAAGGGGTTGAAGTAGTACTACTTCTTAGCAGAGCTGGCTAGCCTGTGCTCAGGCATCTGGCATTTCAACATGAATTCAACAAGCATTTCCTGAGTTTACCTGTATGCTTATTTACCTCGCCCTGTCCTGGGGTAGCTGGGAGCCTGTAGTCAGACACCTGTATGACTAACCTAAAACCAGTGTTCTTTTGTGCTACCTTCTGCATGGCTTGGTCCTAGAAACCTGGCTGGAGTGACCTGGGAATGAAGAACAGACATACTCTTGTACAAAAAGCCTGCCCTGATGGAGCAGCATGTGGCTCAGAAACTCAGTGTCTGTCCGAACAGCATGAGGGAGAGGTCAGGTCTTCTTTGTAGGAAGTCTGTGTCTGTGAGCCGTCTCAGGCTGTGACCAACCTGGGCGAGGAAGTTTCAGTAAATGCTTCTGTACAGTCTTGTCAATATTTGTACTTTGTCCAGAGGAAATCCTCGCCAATTCCCTGAGCTCAACCTGGGGAAAGCTTTGTCACCTGCATTTTGATCTTGCCTTGGCCTTTCCCCTGTTTCTCTTCTGTTTGCTCTTATTGTCCATGAGGGGAATCGGGGCCCTACTGTCCTACGATGTCCTACAATGTTGACCTCATGGCTGTACCGGAGAATGCTCTCTGTAATTGAAATATTCATTTCTACTGCTTTTATCCAACCTAACTTCACTTCCTGCCGCCCACACTCTTACAATCCAGTCAAACTGCACTTTGTACCTTACCCACTCTTCTCCTGAGTTGTCATTTTGTTCGGTCAGGCTCTTTTCTGCTCTCTTTGTTTTTTTTTTTTTTTTTTTTTTTTTGGTTTTTGGTTTTTTTCTTCAGTGTGCCCCTGTAGCTCTGGAGCCTGTCCTGGAACTAGCTCTTGTAGACCAGGTTGGCCTTGAACTCAGAGATCCACCTGCCTTTGCCTCCCAAATGCTATCACTGCCCAGTGCCTCAGTGCCTTTCTTTTTTTTTTTTCTACCTCAAGCCCCAATCTAGATGTTGAAAACCCAGCCTAGTAAAGATGGTCATTTGCAGATACATATATATTTGCTTTAATAAAAACATTGACTATGGTGCCCCAGACACGATGGAAGAGTATAAAGTGTCTAGGTTAGTACAGTGAATGAACTATGATGCTGTAGATATGGTCAAGACCTATAATCAATGTAAGTTTGAAAGTAAATGAGTTTAGTTTAAAATCATGTAATTTAGTTAGTGCTTTTTAAGTGTTTTCTATACTGGACAGTATCTTAGGCCCTTTGCCATCGGTTTAATGCTCATAAAATCTTATGATATAACTGGACAGTGGTGACATATATATACATATATATATATACCATATATGTCATATGGTTTTATATATATGTATATATATATGCTAATATTATGCTCATTTGATAGCTGGGAAACCAAGTAAGTGATGGTTGTATAGTAAGTACTATTATTAGGTCCTAAATAACCACAGATAATGAGACAAAATTTCTGCTCTCAAGAAGTATGAGGTTTAAGAAAAGGGCCACATGTATTTTTACTTAGTATCACCAGAGCATTGTTGGCTCTCATGTAAGGGGGTAGTTATACTGTTAGTTACTCAGTTCATAGCTGCTATATAGCTAATTGAAAATAATAGAGTTCTTATTTTGCCAAATTGTTTTCTCAGCTGCCCAAGGAACTCCACTCACAGTTTCAAGTTTCTGGATAAGTCCTTTAGGAATCATTGTCATAGCTGGGGAGAGGAGCGCGTGTGCCCCACAGGCATGCCAAGGTGAGGTAATGAGGGCTTTTTGGAAACTGGCCCCAAATGCCCTTTCAGGGTTCAGAAAAGAAAGCTACAGCCATCAGAAGGCTTGGGATCTAAGGATGGAAATGAATCTCTTCACTCCGTACTTCTTTGTGCCAGTTTCTCTATTGCTCTGCTACTATTCCAATTCTCCTGTCCTACTGCTAACTTCTCCTTGTCTCTTCTCCTAGCTCCTTCTCTCTCCCTAAAAGCTCTCTTTATCCCAGGAACCTTGAAGTGATAAAGAAAATACAAGAGTTACCTCTCATTGGTCAAAAGCACATTCCTAGAGCAAGTGACAAGGAGCCGAGTCAACACGAGGGCCCAAGGGTACAGGACCAGAGGCGGGGGTACAGTGCCCAGTGAGATATGCTTTGAGACACAGGCCTTTTGTTAACATGCCGGCAGGCAAAGAATTGGGTGCTTTTTCTTAGGGTGCGTTGTGTATTTGTGTAGTAACCTTGGTTGGACATCTGCAACTCTAGGTCTACATACTGAGTTCCAGGATAGCTACTACAATATAGAACTCCCCCCCCCTCTCTCTATATTTTTTTTTTTTGAAAAGAGCCTTTAATGTCAGACCCAAACTCCAGACTTCAGGTGCAGAAAATGAAATGTTGGTTCTTTTCCAGAGTTCCCATCTCTCTGCTACTGTAATGAAATATCTGAGACAATTATTGAAAAAAAGGTTTTATTATTATTTTGAGACAGGATCTCAAGTAGTCCAGACAGATCTCCAACTCACTCAGTAGCTGAGGATGCTGGTGACTGAACTGGGGTCCTCTGAAAGAGCAGCCCATGCCCTTGATTACTGAGCCATCTCTCTAGAGCCACCCCCTCCTTTAAAATCATAGTTTTTCCTTCTGGTTTTCAAATTATGATCCTCGCTGAGGGTGTTTCCTTTTCATAAACTCAACAAACATTATCAAATAAAATATGTATCAGCACAACTCTGAGTAATGACCACTTAACTAGAAGGGTATTTCCAGGTAATTCAGATCACCTTACCAGAAAAAACGATAAGGCTTTTGTCTGGTGATGACTAAAGGGAAGGTTCTAGCTTGCCTAAATTCTCACATGTGAGTTTCCCTTGGTATTATTTTCTGTGTTCTTCAGTTATTCTTTGTCCACAGGTTAACAATTTTTCCCTTCTTTTTGCCATTCCCAGCTGCCTATGGAGTCCCACCTGCGGGACACGGAGCCCCACCTCCCAGATATGATGTCCTGCCTCCTGGATATGGAACTGGGATGTATGGATCCCCTCCTCCTCTGTATGGAGCTACTCCTGTGGGCTATGGAGTCCTGCCTCCTGGATATGAAGCCCCCACTATGGAGTACGGAGTCCCACCTCCCAGATATGGAGTCCCACCTCCCAGATATGGAGTCCCACCTCCCAGATATGGAGTCCCACCTCCCAGATACGGAACCACAGCTGTGATGTCTAGTTCTCCACCTCCCAGATATGAAGCCCCACCTATGGGTTATGAGACTTTGCCACCTGCTCAGTTGGAAGCAGGACATCCCATTTCTGTGGCAGCCCAGACTCCTGGATTCCAAGCATCTTTTCCCTCTACCTCATCTTCACAAACTCATTCTCCCCCCCTCTAAGATGTAAACCTTGAAGTTTCACCAAGCAAAACCATACACTAGCATTGAAGTCAAGAAAGAGCGTTTAGGTATATGATCCCAGCCTCATCCTAGGTAGTTGGTCCCCCACCTAGGAAGTTCAGTTATAGGACAGAACTAAGCTTTATCTCCACGCCTTGATTTAAAAAGCAGTGTCATTCTTGATTAGCTGGATAAAGGAGTAGCACCAGAGGGCTAATTTCCTAACGACTTGGTTGACATTGATGCATCTTAAAACGTATCTTGACGTGAGCTTGCAAAAAGCTTCCTGCCTTTCTCCTCATCCGCATTAGAAAACCTTTATAATACTCTATTTGGTAGATACCAAGATCTGCTAAAATGTCGCATTGAGAGCTGGGCCTGGTGGTGCAGGTTTATAGAGAATGAAACAGAAGGATGACAAGTTCAAGGCCAGCCTGGGCAGCCTAGTGAGAGCCTGTCTCAAAGACAAAAGGGCTGGGGGGATAGAGCTCAGCTGTAGTGTGCTTGCCTAGTATGCTGATGGTCCTAGGTTTAATCCCCAGTACCAAAATTAATTGATTAATTGAAAATGCAGGTGTGAGGCATGGGTGCACATGCCTGTAATCGCAGCACTTGAGAGGAAGAGTTCAGAAGTTCAAGATCATCTCTGACTATGTAGGGAGTTAAATGTCAGCCTAGGTTACTTTAGAACCCACCTCAAGGCGGGGCGGTGATGGTGCATACCTTTAATCCTAGCATGTAGGGGCAGGCGGAACTCTGTGAGTTCCAGGCCAGCCTGGTCTACAAGAGCTAGTTCCAGAACAGGCTCCAAAGCTACAGAGAAACCTTGTCTTGAAAAAACAAAACAAAACAAAACAAAACAAAACAGAACCCACCTCAAAATCAAAAACAAAATCAAAACCTCATCACATTGAACACAGTTGTTTCTTACAGTATTATTTACATTTCAGAAAGAATGGAGAACCTTAATTTCCAGTGAGAGGGACCTTATGAACTACACCATATTCATACAATAGAATACATAGATGTTATAGAGAAGGCAGCCTTTAGGACAAAAACAAAGCAAAAAGGGAAAAAGGTCCAAAGCAACCTACTGGGAGGGGGTATTATGTTCATTAAGAAAGTCTACAGTCAGAATATGCAAAGAGCTAGAAAAAGAAGCAGGGATCAGGGGAGATGGCTCAGTTGCTCGTGTGCTTCCACAGCATGAAGGCTTGCCATTGATCACTAGCACTCGAGAAGCACACACCTGGAACTCCAGTCCTGGGGTGGAGGGTGCAGGGACAAGATCCTTGGGGCTTGCTGACCAGCAGTCAGACTGAATCAGTGAGCCCCTGGGTCAGAGACCATATTTCAAATAAGGCAGAGAGTAATTGAGGAATATGCCAACATTGACCTCTGACCTTGTCATGCCCAAGCACACATAGGCATGCATATCTGTACACACAATTTAACTTTAAAAGGAAATGTATAAAATATGCAAATTACCAATTAACAACTGAAGCAATAACGACTGTGCCAGTAACATTTATGACAAAATACTGAAAAAGATGTGTGACTCAAATAGTTGGGCCCTCGTGCTGTGATACCTTTCTCTTCAGAGCTGCAATACTTATAAAACATGTGCACCCCAATCCCACTCACCTCACCTCCCCGTCTCTCCAAAGCCTCCCCTCACCCCTGCAGCAGCCTCTCCAACAACACTCTGTTGGGGAATATTATTTTAAGCTGTTTGACTTTTCTTTATGCTGCATGTGTTTGACTCTGTGACACTGTGATTCTTTGCCTGTCTAAAATACCTGACAGTCCTAATAAAGAGCTGAACGACCAATAGCGAGGCAGGAGAGGGATAGGCGGGGCTGGCAGGCAGAGAGATAAATAGGAGAGATGTGAAGGTGGAGCAACAAGAGAGCAAGGGGAGGAGGACTACAGAGGCCAGGCACCCAGCCAGGCTCAGAGTAAGAGTAAAAGTAAGATGTATAGAAATAAGGAGAAAGCCTAGAGGCAAAAGGTAATAAGGCTAATTTAAGAAAAGTTGGCAAGGGCTGGAGAGATGGCTCAGTGGTTAAGAGCATTGCCTGCTCTTCCTAAACGTCCTGAGTTCAATTCCCAGCAACCACATGGTGGCTCACAACCATCTATAATGAGGTTTGGTGCCCTCTTCTGGCCTGCAGACATACACACAGACAGAATATTGTATACATAATAAATATTTAAAAAAAAAAAAAGAAAAGTTGGCAAGAAACAAGCCAAGGAAAGGCCGGGCATTCATAACAAAGAATAAACCTCGATATGTGATTCACTTGGGAGCTGGGTGGTGGGCCCCCCAAAAGGCCAAAAGAGTAAAACATCACACTACCACATCCCTTAAAATCAAAGACAAGAAAAAACCAAAAATCCTATTTTGCGTCTCTGTCTTTCATTCATCCTAGTGGCATTGGGTGCTACAGTGTGCCATGCAGTGTACCCCTTTGTCCAGTCAGTCCCACCCACACAGTGTGCAGTGCAACAAGTCGCTGGTCTGGTTCAAGGCCTCTGGAACACCATCATCATAAGACCCTCACTGAAACTCCTCTAGGATATTCTGCTGTTGCCCCGTGTCATGCAGAGTCTGTGGTTACTGTTCTGCAGGACTATCCCCTTTCACACACTCCAGCAGGTCATAGATGGGGTAGATGTTAGGGTGGGCCAATCTAAGGTCCAAGATGTGGCTAGGGTGGTACCTGAGCTGGTCAGTTCAGGTCACTGGGATTGCCTGTAATGGTAAAAGTAAAATGTTGCAGGTCCCTGAGTGGCTGCAGTGGGGCAGCAGGTCCTGGGACCATGCCGCAGGTCTCTGAAGTGGCTGCAGGTAGTAGGCAGTGGCTTCCGAGAGTCTGAAGTGGCTGCAGGTAGTAGGCAGTGGCTTCCGAGAGCAGCCAGTCCCAGGCAGGGATGGCAGAGTTCCCCAAGTGGCTTCAGGGGGCCACCAACCCAGACAGGGAGCCACGTAGTGGGTGAGAGATCTCAATGGGGCAGCCAGTCCCACAAAAAGAGACAGACAGATGTGCGTGCCACAATACCACGCTGCAGGTCTCTAAAGGTGGCTTGTTCCACCCAGTGGGCGAGAGACAGACATGGATAGGCACACCATGCAGAGTAAGGTTGGATATTTATTTAGAGGGTTATGGAGGGGAAAGGGGAGAAGAGCAGAGAGAGGCAGAGAAAGAGGCAGAGAGATAGAGAAACAGAAGAGGGAAAGGAGAGAAGTGGGGAGAAGGGAGAGACAGAAGCTGCTTCTTTGAGAGGGAAATGGAAAGGGAGGAACTCAGCAAAGCAACCATAGTCTAACCTCCCAAATAGAATCCATGGAAAAGAGAGTCACGATTCATCCCATTACGTCACTGCTACTCTCCCATCTGTGGTAGTTGAGCAGCTCTCGGGGAGAACCTTCGGCAGTGTCAGTGGGTTGCTTCTGGGAGCTGCGAACGCCACTGTAAACTCCGTTTGTATCTTTTGTTCTGTGTTCACGTAAAGCAGATTTTCGAAAGGCTAATTTAAATGATGAGTACCTTGCCTAGTTCCACGACGCTTCCAAACTGTGCAGTGACTCCCCACTGTCTCCGGGGTAAAGGCTAGACTTCTGGTCCTGGTGTATACAAGGACCTTGTTACTATTCGGGCTCTATCTGGCCTACTCTGACCTCGCCAGCTGTGTGATCCAGCTGTGCTGAACTCTGGCAGATACCGAAGTGAGCTGGCTTTGCCTCTGTGCCTTCCTCCCCACATCGTCCACTCATCTTTCAAAAACAGCCCAGAAGTCCTTTCTCCTAAGAGCGCGCTCTGAGCTCCGTGTCTGGGCTAATTGCCTTCTGCTGAGCTTGTGATGTGCCCTTTGTGTGTGCCCGCAGAGGGCTGTGTCAGTCCTGTAGGGACTGTGTGTGTGGATTTCTCTCTCCTGCAAGGTTGCAGGAGAACAGAAGCTATGTCCCATTGTCAGGGCTTCGCATAGAGTGGGTGGCTACCAAGGGTTTGTTAAAGACACATTGTGTTTCTGGTTTTATTACACACACACACACAGCTGACTTATAGCCACCAGGTGAAGGTTATAATTTGTGGGATCATTTTTGTTTGTTAGAAGAGATTAAAAATAAAATTTCAGCTAGTTCCAGGACAGGCTCTAAAACTACAGGGAAATCCTGCCTCAAATAAACAAAAATAAATGAATAAATGAATGAATAAATAAATAAATAAAATTTCAGACTTGGGGAGAGCTATAGTTTCTCTGGCCACTTGAGATGCTCGGTGCCGGAGGCAGGGAACTGTTCCACCATTCCTCCCCGTATGGCTTACAGGGTTCCAGCTGGCCAAAGCTGGCAAGTTCTATGATCCCACAGACTCTGTGTTCAAAAGGTTTTTAAAAAATGCTTTCTACCACAGTTGGTTGCTAGGCAACATGCCAACTTAATCCTATAGTGATCCAAGGAGGTTGGTGCTGCTTGTAGCTTCATCTTACAGCTATGCATAATAAAGTTTGAGGGCCTTACAAAACCAGAGTCTACAACCATTCAGAGGTGGAAGTGGCCAGGTGCTGTGGTGCGCACCTTTAAATCTAGAGGCAGGTGGACCTCTGTGAGTTCAAGGTCAGCCTGGGCTACACAGTGAACACCAGGCTAGCGATGACTGTAGAGAATTACAGCTACCTGATGCTGACCTCTGGAAAGAGACTGTGGTTGCCCAGTTTTCCGAGCAGGAATCCATCAGCCATCTTGTGAAAACCCACACTAAAGTCTCCATGTGGAGGATCATAGCTCCAGCTATGGCTACCATATAGGATTTTTGCTTGTTTGTTTTATTTTTGTTTTCCAAGACAGGGTTTCTTGTCGGGCTGTGGTGGCACATGCCTTTAATCCCAGCACTCAGGAGGCAGAGGCAGGTGGATCACTGTGAATTCAAGGCCAGCCTGGTCTACAAAGAGAGTTCCAGGACAACCAGGACTGTTACACAGAAAACTCTGTCTCAGAAAACAAACAAACAAACCCCCCAAAACCACAAATAAACAAACAAAAGAGCCAGGGGTTCTCTGTGTGGCCCTGGTTATCC